TTTTTTTTTTTTAAATATATCTTTATTGATTTCAGAGAGAGGAAAGGAGGGGGAGAGAGAGAGACAGAAACATCAATGATGAGAGAGTCATTGATCGGCTGCAGCCCACAACTCGGGCATGTGCCCTGACCGGGAATCGAACCCCGATCTCCTGGATCCTAGGTCGACACTCAACTGCTGAACCATGCCCGGCCGGGCCCCAGGCTTCTTGAAGGACTCTGTTTACCTCTCTTACACTACTTTAGCATCAATGCTGTCACTCCTATGTTTGGCTGTCTCTGACTCCTCAGAAGACTGTAGCCCTGACTGATTCACTCTGTTTGGATCCTCAGCAACTAATCTACAAGAACCATCACTAGATTTGAGCTGGTGGCACTGCCACACCCCTAAGCTCATTTAATAGCAGTATCTAGCATTCTGTGTGAGCTCGTCTCATCTGCCAGGCACTGTACTAAAAGCTTTTTGTGCATTAGACTATATAATCATCATGACCCTATCAGGTAAAATTTACTAATGGTACCATTTAACAGATAAAGAAACTAAGTCACAGAGAGGTTAAAGTAAAATGCACATGGTCGCACAGCTAGTAAGATGACACAGCTCTTAATGTCTCTATAATCATATGAAGTTTACACAACTTCTGTGACTTCAGTGTGGCACGAGCTCCCAATCCCATTTGATAGATGAGGAAAGTAAGACCCAGAGAGGAGATTTTTCCCAAGGTTACACGAAAAGAATAGTACTAAAAATAAGATTGAAGTAAGGGTAAGATATACACATGGCAATACAGATAAATCTTAAAAAAAAATAGTGCTGAATTTAAAAATTAACAGAAATATATATTCATATGTATATATTCATATATATAAAACCATTTGTATAAACATGTGCTGTATACTAGCCCTGGCTAGTGTGGCTCAGTTGTTTGGAGTGTCGTCCTGTACACCAAAAGGTGGAGGGTTCGATTCCCCATCAGGGCACATACCCAGGTTGTGGGTTGGGGCCTGTGCGGGAAGCGACTGATCGATGTTTGTCTCTCACATCGATGTTTCTCTCTCTCTTTCTCTCCCTTCCTCTCGCTAAAATCAATAATAAAAAAATAATAATAAATAAAAAATGTACTGTATACTACATATTTTTCAAAATTTATACAAATCAAAAAATTACATATTAAACTCTGGAGTGAAGAGGGGAAAGGAGTGAGCTATAGGCTGTATTAATCTGCTCAGGCTGCCATAACAGAATACCACAGACAATCTTAAATAGATATTTATTTTCTCATAGCTCTAGAAATTGGAAGTCCAAATTCAGCAGGGTTGGTTTCTGATGAGGCCTCCCTCCTTAGGTTGCAGATAGCTGTCTTCTCAGCGTCCTTTCATGGCCTTTCTTCTCTGCGGAAAGATCACTGGTATCTCTTCTTATGTCTCCATACCCACCAGATCAGGTCCCCACCCTTATGACCTCATTTCACCTTAATTACCTCCTTAAAGGCCCTATCTCCAAATACAGCCACATTGGGGGTTAGGGGTCCAACACATGAATTTTTGGGGAACACAAGTCAGTCCATAACATGGGCTAAAAGGGAAATAAAACCTCAAGAAGTGGAGAAAGCAAATGGGATGGATGGCCTGGCCAGCTGACTCGGTGGCTGAGCTTTGACCTATGAACCAGGATTTGATTCCCCAGCACAATTTGATTCCCTGTCAGGGCACATGCCTGGATTTTGGGCTCGATCCCCAGTGGGGGACACGCAGGAGGCAGTTTCTCATCATTGACGTTTCTATCTCTCTCTTTCCCTCTCCATTCCTCTCTCTGAAATCAATAAAAACATTAAAAAAGAAAACATTAAAAAAAGAAAAGAAAATGGAATTGGAGCAGTAGGCAGGATCCAGATCAAGCAGGCCTTTATAAGCCATAGTGAAGAGACTACCTTTAAAGCCTCAGAGAGGCCCTGGCCAGTGTGGCTCAGTTGGTTGGGCACCCTCCCGTGCACTGAATAGTGGCTGGTTTGATTCTGGGTCGAGGCACATGCCTGGGAGTGATTCCCAGTCGGGGGCATGCAGGAGGCAGCGAATCAATGTCTCACTTTTACATGGATGTTCTCTCTCTCCCTCTCTCTAAAAATCAATTAACAATCTTTTTAAAAAAATAAAACTTAAGAAAAAAATCTTAAAAAAAAAAAAAGGCTCAGCCCTAGCCAGTTTGGCTTAGTGGTTAGAGTGTTGGCCCAGGGACTGAAGGGTCTTGGGTTTGATTCCAGCCAAGGGCACCTACCTTGGTTGCAGGGAGGCAACCAATTGATGTCTCTCTCTCTCTTTCCCTTCCACTCTCTCTATAGAGCAATGGGAAAAAGATATCTTCAGGTGAGGAGTAAAAAAATAAAAAATTTAAAAAAATAAAAAGGCTCAGAGAAGTCACTCAGTTCATAAATGCTAAGGTCAATTTGTATATAACTGATTGATTCCAAAGTTCATGTTGTCAGAAACCACCCTGAGTCCTGATAACAAAGTGGAAGTGTGCGTATTTCATTTTACCACTAGGAAAATGGAGTTCAGAGAGGCCAAATGACTTGCTTAAGGTCACATGGTAGGTGGAAGTTCTTTCTGACTTTCATTGGCACCTTCTTTGTGCCAGGCCCTGTGGAAGACACTGGGGATATAGAAATTAGGAAAACATGGTCCCTACCCTTAGGAAGCTCATCGGTGAATAGAAAAGACATCCAAGTAAGCAAATGTGGTCATTGGAGGGGCCTGATAAAGGTGCTGGGAAGTCCAGAGGAGAGAACGCAACTCTGCCTAGGGCAGTTGGGGAACAGTTCAGAGGAAGAGCCCTGTGAATCAAATCCTTAAAGGATGAAGAGTTTACCTGACAGAAAAGGAGGAAAAGCTCAGTATGGGCAGTGTCCAGGATGTGGGCACTTGCTAAGGGCAAGTGAGTAATGCGGGTGATGTGGCCAGATGAGGAAGGATTTGGTGCCAGGTCAGAAGTCTGACTTGATTCTGAGGTCACTGGGGAACCCTGGAAGGGTTTCAAGCCGGGGGACGCCTTGGCCAGGATTCTAAGGAAGGTCTCTCTGGCTGTTGTACAATGACCTGAAGTCTTTTTAAGACTCCATTGCATTAAAAAAAAAAAAAAAAAAAAATCCATTGTATGAGCTGGCAAGAAAAATTGATGGCCCTTCCCACCTCCAATCCCATTATGGCTTTTGATCCACTCAAACGTAGGATCTTTTATTTTTATTTTTATTTTAACCATCCCTGTCAAAGCCTTCAACTCACTGCTAGACAGATCAACCTGCTTCCTTCCTCTCTGCCTACACCCACCTCCCACCAGGGTCATACTCACGACAATGGGGTTTGGGAGAAAGGTGTGCAAAGAACAGGGGGGTTGAAGCTTCCTGTAGGGATGGTGGGCAAAGGGATCCAGATGGTGAGGACCCCAGGTGTTCTTGGTCTTGGCTTTCCCCACCTCTCTGGGCCAGTTAAAGCATCTCAGCTTCCCACATCGCCCGCCCCCTCGTTTGCTGCACTCAACTTCCTGCCCCACCAGAGGAAGTGGGGAGAGACGGCAGGTGCGGCAACAGCGACCCGGGCCATGGTGAGTCCTTATGCCCAGGAATCCAGGCCCCCAGCCCCCGGCCGCAAGGGCAGCCAGGCCCAGGTCAACCCACAGTAGGCTGACTTGCTGACTTCTGGCCTCTGAGATCAGGTTTTACTGGGGGCCCTGTCTGCTGCTCCCAGTAACCTCCTATCGTGTACACCCCACCAACAGGACAAGGAATACGTGGGTTTCGCAGCCCTCCCCAACCAGCTGCACCGCAAGTCCATCAAGAAGGGGTTTGACTTCACACTCATGGTGGCAGGTATGGGGATTTGGGGGAGGGGACTGGTGGTGGGTCCTCAAGAGACCCTGGCTGTCCCCTCACCTGACCGCTTGGGCCTGTCCTGTCTACAGGGGAGTCAGGCCTGGGGAAATCCACTCTCATCAACAGCCTGTTTCTCACCAACCTCTATGAGGATCGGCAACTGCCAGAGGCCAGTGGTAAGACTACCCCCATCCTCTAGCCCCAGGCTACACTCTCTTCCTTTCCATCTGGGTCTCCCATGACTTTCTGAGGGACTCAGGCAGCTTACTGCTTCCTCCCCTAAAATAGTAGGTGGGGGCAACTGTGACACTGAGAAAGGAAATTAGTCCTGCCTCAGACCTCTACCCAGTTCCCTGATCTCTTCCCATACCCTTAGCTCGCTTGACACAGACACTGACTATTGAGCGTCGGGGCGTGGAGATCGAGGAGGGGGGTATTAAGGTGAAGCTGACCCTGGTGGACACACCTGGCTTTGGGGACGCAGTGGATTGCTCAGACTGGTGAGGAGTGGGGGAGGGAATTAGGGATAGGCTCCCAATATGGCTACTCTGTGGAGACTGAGGGGGCAGTTACAGGGCTGGTCTGCCCTGGCCTCCTACCCACCCTGACCGAAAAGTGGGGGGCATTTCTGGTAGCCATGTGGCCCAAAGTGCCCTGTGCTTCCCGATATCTCACTTATGACCCTGCCAGTTTCTTGATTTCTTTGGTTGGAGACAAAGAAACTACTTCCTTCCCCCACAGTCCTGACCAGCCTTGCCCCCTTCCCTGCCCTGTGGCCCCTGATATCTGACCATATACTCTCTCCCCTCCCCACACCCCAGCTGGCTGCCCGTGGTGCGCTTCATTGAGGAGCAATTTGAGCAGTATCTTAGGGATGAGAGTGGCCTGAACCGGAAAAACATCCAGGATTCCCGTGTCCACTGCTGCCTCTACTTCATCTCGCCCTTTGGCCGGGGGTCTGGAGGGCACCCTGGGGGTTGGGCACTTGGGGAGGATTTGAGAGGTGTCTCTGTATCCTGAGTCCAAGCCCTGACCAATCCTTGGGTGCAGGCTCCGGCCCCTAGATGTGGCCTTCCTCCGGGCGGTGCACGAGAAGGTCAACATCATCCCAGTCATTGGCAAAGCAGACGCCCTGATGCCTAGGGAAACCCAGGCCCTCAAGCAGAAGGTGAGTGTGGTGACTTCTAATCTTTGGCCCCACATGAAGCCAAAAGTCATGATCAAACCTGAACTCAGCTTTGACTTCTTTGATCTTGGGCTGGACTTCTTGGAGCATGATGTGTAACACTAGACTATTAGAGAAAGTTTCGGAGGAAGGTAGGTAGTCAGCTGCCTGAAGGAGCCATGCCCCTGGCGGCTCAGAGTAGAATCCCTGGGCTGGACCCTTAGCTAAGGGCTGTCCGAGGGTAGGGGCATAGACATGATGACCCCTGATAGCCCTCTGGCCCAAGGATGCTGATGACCCCCACCCTCCAGTGTCTTCAGAGCCCTTTCCCACTGTTTCTGTTTATGTCTCTCTCTCCTGGTATTTTGGTATCTGACTCATCCTTTTTTGTTTGTTTGTTTTAAATCCTCGCCAGAGGATATTTTTTCCATTGCTTTTCAGAGAGAGTGGAAGGGAGAGAGAGACACACATTGATTGGTTGCCTCTTGCATACACCCCCACCAGGGTCGGGTATGAGCCTGCAACCGAGGCACATGCCCTGGGCCGGAATCGAACCCTGGGCCCTTCAGTCCACGGATGGACACTCTAACCACTGAGCCAAACCGGCTAGGGCTCTGCCTCATCTTAGAATCTTTCTGCGGTGGCTGTTAGGGTGTCTTTGTCTCAGTCTTTCACCATCTCTGTCTCGTCATCTCAGATTTTGTTTATATTCATTTCTTTTTTTTTTAAAATATATATCTTTATTGATTTCAGAGAGAGGAGGGGAGAGGGAGAGAGAAACATCAATGATGAGAGAGTCATTGATCGGCATGTGCCCTGACCGGGAATCGAACCCTGATCGCCTGGATCCTAGGTCGACGCTCAACCGCTGAGCCACGGCTGGCCGGGCTCATTTCTTTTTTAATATGTTTTTATTGACTTTAGAGAGAGAAGGGAGAAGAGAGAGAGAAACATCAATTGCCTCCCCCACACCCTGACCAGAGACAGAACCCGAAACCCGGGCATGTGTTCTGACCGGAAATCAAACCCATGACCTTTTGGTGCCCACGAGGATGCTCAACCAACCCAGCCACACCCTCAGGGCTGCGTGTTCATTTCTCACCCGCTCTGTCTTTCCTGTGTTGACCACCCAGTGTCTGTATCTGAATCTCTCTGGCCGAGTGGCTGCTGATCGCAGCCTGTGACTCTCACTGTCTCTGCATCTCTCCTCTGAGATCCGGGAGCAGCTGAAGGAGGAGGAGATCAGCATCTACCAGTTCCCCGACTGTGACTCAGATGAGGAAGACGACTTCAAGAGGCAGGATGCAGAGATGAAGGTGCAGAGGCACCGGAGGCCGGGGCAGAGGCGGAGGCACATGCTGCCAGAGAGGTTTCCCCCTCCAGGGGCCAGCGGTGACCCCTGGTTCCTGCCCTGTAGGAAAGCATCCCTTTCGCAGTTGTGGGTTCATGCGAGGTAGTGAGGGACGACGGGACCCGGCCTGTGAGGGGACGCCGCTACTCCTGGGGTACCGTGGAGGGTGAGTAGGGCCAGGCAGGCATTCTGAGGCCAGCGGGGAGCCCAGGCCGCCTCCAAGCCAACAGCACCCAACATGTGAAGGTGGGGCGAGCTCTAGTCTTGGCAGTCCTAGGAGCCACATGAGAGGTCCTAGAGCTGCAGACCTCGGACCCTGCCCTAGAGCTGGGGTAGGACCCAGAGGGTGGGACTGGACCAGAAGCTCCCTGAGGCGCACGGTCTGTCCCCCAGTGGAGAACCCACTTCACTGCGATTTCCTGAACCTGCGACGGATGCTGGTGCAGACGCACATGCAGGACCTGAAGGAGGTGACACACGATCTGCTCTACGAGGGCTACCGGGCCCGCTGCCTGCAGAGCCTGGCCCGGCCGGGGGCTCGCGATCGAGCCAGCCGCAGGTGAGGCGGAGCGCACTCCCAGGTGCTTCCAGGGCACCGCTCGGGACACCCACGACCCGCCTTCGCCAACCAGATTTCTCTCCAAAATCTTTCCCCACCCACTTTGCTTCCCTCCCTAACCTCGAGGACAAGACCCGCCTCCTAGAGCCCGACCTCGGGGTCGCGACCCTCACAACCCCGGCCCCCCCTGAGTCCCCTTCCTTTACCCCAACCCCTAGTAAGCTCTCCCGCCGGAGTGCCACGGAGATCCCCCTGCCCATGCTGCCTCTGGCCGAGACAGAGAAGTTGATCCGCGAGAAAGACGAAGAGGTGAGCAAGTACCTCGCCTCCCCACCGATCAAGGCCCCCCTTTCTCCCCGAATGAGTCCCTCTCTGGCCACGCCCGGCCCACCGCCCGCAATCTCGCCCCGCACAGCTGCGTCGCATGCAGGAGATGCTGGAGAAGATGCAGGCCCAGATGCAGCAGAGCCAGGCTCCGGGCGAGCAGTCGGACTCGCTCTGAGGCCCGCCCGGGGCTGCTCTACCTCGGCTCCGCCTTCCGCCCCGCTCTGGTCCAATCCCCGGGCCCCAGGCTGCCCGGAGCCCGCCCTGGCCCTGCGTTCCAGGGCTCCCGCAGCCCCAGAGCCCCTCCCCGCCTCTGCCACGCTCCGAGCCCGAGCTTCCAGCACAGCCCCTCTACACGCCAACTCCTTCATGAAAACGGTTTCCTGCCGGGCCGGGCGTGGACCCAGGATCCAGGAGATCGCGGTTCGAGTCCCGGTCGGGGTAGGTTCGGGAGGAAACTGCAACCGATGGATGGTCAATGTTTCTCTCTCACATGGATGTTATTCTCTCTCTAAGATCAATTAAAAAGGTAAAAAAACAAAAACAAAACTAAGTTTCCTGAGGCCACGAGTCTTCTCTTTCCCTGCGGGAATTAGCTGCGGACTCAGCCCGCGGAGCGGCCCCTCCCAGGCCGTCGTCCGCCTGCTGGGCGCTGGCTGGGCGCCCGGCAGGGTTTCAGCCCCTCCTCCCACCTGAGCCCGCACAGCAACACTGAAGGCGCCCGGATAAGAAACAAAGACCAGTTCAATTTTATTAGGACGCGGGGTAAGGGTCAGACTGCGAGGAAGGCCTTGGCTCGCGGAGGCCTAAAGGGTCCCCTACTCCTGGTCCTTGGCGTCGCCGTGCGTGATGACGTAGCAGATATTCTTGTAGTCCACGTTGCCGCTCACGTCGGGAGGGAAGGCCGCCCACATGTTCTTGATCTGCGGGAAGATTGCAAGATCGCGTCTCCTCGGGGTTCCTAAGGCTCCCCTCTTCCTCCGCTTCCCCCGGGCCCCTCCCCCACTCACCTCTTCCTGGGTGAAGCGGTCACACTGGGTGGTAAGAAGCTCCTCCAAGCTGCAGAGAGGTGATATGAGGGGCGTTGAGATTGGGCCTTGTAAATTCTTTCCGCTCCCACCTCATCCTTGTTGCTATTCCCAGTCTCACCTTGAAAATCAGGGTCACTCTAGATACCTCCTGTGATCTCCCAAACACAAGTACAAAAGGCTTTGCCCTCTCCCCATATGTGCTGTGAAAATTTAATCCTAATCACAGCCCTCATTTCCCCCTTATCTCTGGTAGTGCCCAACCCTTGCAGAAATTTAAGGAGGCATTCTGTGGGTGAATAGCTGGAGGGTATCACTTACAACTGCTTCTTGATAGTACCCTTCCCCTCAGGGTCCAGGACCTTGAAGGCTCCAGTGATCACGTCCTCAGGATCGGCACCTGGGGTAAGAGGCACATGAAGCCGAAGGGTCCCTGAAGGGTCTGTCTCTGAAAGGTCTGAGAAGGGACAGCTGGGAGCTTGGACCCAGGACACTTCATTCACCTTTGAGCTTCTCTCCAAACATGGTCAGAAAGACAGTGAAGTTGATGGGACCGCTGGCTTCCTTCATCATGGCATCTAGTTCCTCATTCTTCACATTGAGGCGCCCTGGAGCGGGGTGGGGAAATCATGGGCTAGAGTGGGGTCTTGGGACCGAGGGTGATGCTTCTCATAAATTCAGATCATCCCACCCATTTTTCATCTGAGTAGACTGAGGCCCAGGGTGGAGCCAGCAGGGCTGGCCCCCAAGACTGTTGAATTCCCAGGACTCTACAGCCTTGGATTTTTAAGGGTGGGCTTGGGGGCTCACCCATGGCTGCAAAGGTGTCCCGCAGGTCTTCCTTGTCAATAATGCCATCACGGTTCTGGTCGATTACTGTGAAGGCCTGTGGAGGGCAAGGGCACAGAGGGGTAAGGTCCCCCATGGCCAGGCTTGAGCATCCTTACACCAGGCAGATTAGAGTCTGGCCCCCAGCCAGCTGTCTGCTTACATGCCAAGAAGGGAGCGGAGCAAGGAATTCTAAACCCTTCCCCTCCCACTAAAACAGGTGCACATTCCGGGGTGGGGGTTGAGGGGGGGCAGAGGGCAGCAACGGTACCTTGGGTCAGCCTTCATTCTCCCCTCTCCCTTCACTCACCTCCTTGAACTCCTGGATCTGAGTTTGGTCGAACATTGAGAAGACATTGGAGCTTCCACCCTCTGCCACTGCCCTTCTCTTGGCCTTCTTGGGTGCCTGAGGGGTGGGGGTTGGGCAAAGAGATCCATGGGCCAGATCCTACTTTTCTCTGGAGGCAATGGATTAGACTCAGGGTTCTCTGAGTCCACTCTTGAAAGCAACTCATCTGGCTCTAGGCTTCCCCTTCTTTATGACTTCTTTGCTGTGGGTGTTTGCTTCAGTTGCATCCCCAAATTCCAATCTGTAGCCCTTGAGTCCCATCCCTCCATCTACTCAACAAGTGAAAGTTTCCTCCTCTTAGTGTCTTGAGCCTGCCTCCTCTGAGTCCCAGACTTCCTGTATAACCCTGATCCACTCATTCATTCTGTATGATCCTCTACTTTCTCACTTATAAAATGGGAGTGGGAATCCTTGCCTGCTTGGTCCCAGAGGGTTTTAGGAAGATGGAGTGCAGGAAGGTATGGAGCATGCTTTGAGAGGGACTGGCCTCCTGTGAGTGGAGTGTCTGAGTAGATTATCCTTGGTTGGATCCTTTAGGCCATCATTCTGTATGCTCCCCATTAGTGATACCAAGAAAGGAAGGACTCATCCTTCTTCCTCTTGATGGACTGGGAACCAGCTACCTTCTTTCAAAGGGTGAGGATGCCCTGAGGTCTGAGGGATCTGGGCAGGGGCTGGGGGATTCTCACCATGTCTTCAGGTTCCTGGGGGCAAGGCTGGAAAGTAGCAGAGAGTCAGCTTGCAGCACTCCCTCTGGGGTTATATAGTCCTGCCCCAGGGAGCCCTTAACATACCAGGGTAACCTTAGCCCTGTGGGTGCCCACCCCAGATACCAAAATAGCCTGGCTCAGTTGCCTTTCCTTTCTTGGAGGGCCTGCAGCAGCTGGAGTCCAGGGAGAGAGGGAGGAGGGAGTGAGTCTTGGGCTGCATGTCTCACTAGGATCTGGGCAGAAAGGGGTGTTCTTTCTCTCAAAAGGGGGCTGGAATGTGCCAGAGTTCAGAGAAGGCCCAAGTCAGTGCTTGGAGAGAGATAAACCACATTTCTGTACCTTTGAGTGAGGTGGGCTCAGATTTAAACCTAGTAAATTTATGAGCACCTATAGTGTGCCAGGTGCTGTGCTTTATGGGTGCACTTTGGCAAACATAACCCCGCTTCCATTTGGAGTTCATAGTTAAGTGAGGGTATTTATAGGGGTAGTGGCAGAGTTTAGAGGTGGGAGAGAGCCATCTGGGGAACCTGAAGGATCAGGAAAGTCTTCTACATTCCCTTCAAGGAGAGGGAGGATTTTGTGAGGAAAGATGCAGAGCCTGGAATCACTAGGTATGAAGAGACAGACTAGACAATGTAGGGCAGAGAGCCTCCTCTATCATTTTGGGCTTTGTGCTTCAACTCCCTGGGCCTTGGTTTCCCCTTTTATAAAATGGGATGTTATTGTCATTCCACAGAACTTGTGGACATGAACAAGTTTAGTGAAATATAATCATAATTATTACTTAGGCCCTGCCTTGGTAGAACTTAACAGTCCAGTCATGGACACAGGATAAATATAGAAAATGACATAAAAGTAGAGAGCACAGCAGCCCTGTGTAGGAGCATGAAAATGACTTTTATGAAGACCAGTAGAAGTGAATCAGGCGAACATGGAGGAGCAGGTGTGCCAAGCAGAAGGCATGGATGGGAAAAGGCCTGGAGAAGTGAAAGATCAGAATTGTTCAGGTTGCCAGAATTGTGATGGGGCATGAACAGAGGATGCAAGGGGCTGGAAACCTCAGATACTGGAACTGGAGGGCCTTCAATGCCAGGCTGAGAGCTGAGACCTTGGGAGCCTTGAAAAAGTTTGAAAGAGGAGGACATGGTCTAGTATGAGTCTATAACCATTTCTTGGGATACTGGTTTGAAAGTTAGAACTCAGAGGAAGGGAGTCAGAGACACCAAGAGAGAAATTAGTTGGCCACCTCTTCTTGGTTGACTAGAATGGGTCAGTGGCTTTTCTCTCCATTCTGAGCAAGAACCAGCTTGGCTGTGTGATTTGAGGTACTCTCTCCCACCCCTCTAGACCTCAGTGCCCCAGTCCTCTCCATACAGTGGAGGTCTGGGGCAATAGTGGCTGAGGAAGCTCAAGGTTGGCAATGACACCTCCTCTTCTTGCTCCCTCTAGGACCTGATGTCCTGAGCAAGGTGCCTCCTTCCCTCTCCCTCCTCCAGTCTCATGCCAATGCCTCTAAGACATTTTCTTTTCTGGGCACTGGGGCCCAGCCACCTGTTATCTCTAAGAAGAGCGAAGGAACCACCCTAAACTTAGCAGCTGCCCTTGGCCTCCTGAACTGGCCCCTCCCTGCCTTGTTTGACAGCTGCCTCACCTTATAAGGTTACTATGGGGGTCCAGGCCAAGGGAGGAGCCCACTTATTACTGGGTCCTGGGAGGGGAGGAGAACTCCAAAGACAGGAATTGGGGAAGTGTTCAGGAAGTTTGGGTCCACTGGAAAGCGGGGAAGTTGAGAAGGAGATCAGGAGCAGTATATCTCGGACACTGAACGGGAGAGAGTTCACAGGATCTGGGTCTGGGGAACTTCAGATAACTCAGAAACCAAGGAGGAACTGGGGAGTTAGGCCTGACTGAAGTTTCAAGATGGTGGACTCTATAGAAATCAGCAGCCTCTAACCTCCCGCTTGGGGTAATGGGTAATGGGGGTCAAAGAGAGAAGAGGCTCAGAAAGTCAGGACTTTGTGTTTGTGGTCTAGGATAGGCTGGGGCGCTCATAAGATCGGGGGCTGGTTTCTTAGCAGAAAATGAGCACAGAGAAGTGTGGCAATGAGGGGATAGGAGTTGATTGAAGGGTCTTGAATCCCCAAAATAAGGACACAGATATGGGATTTCATGGTATTGGGAATTCACGGTTTGGGGTCTAGGATCATCACCAGGATGGAGCACACTCAAAGGATGAGGTGTGAGGACTTGGGGCTTGGGATTCCCACAGGAAATAGCAGATTCGGAGAGATAGGTCACTTAGAGGATTTGGGGACTCTGGTTATAGCCGTCTGGGCTTGAAGTTTTGGGATTGGTTGAGGGCCGGAATGAGAATTAGAGATAGAGTGGAGGTGGAGAGTAGAGTACTGGATCAGGGCATTGGACCTGTGATACAGCTCAGGGTTTCACATACCACCAGAGTGGGGGGAGATCAGTAGCTGGATGGAGAATGGGGGCACAGAAAGGACTCAGGCAGGGCAGCAAGGCATTCTTATTGGCTAAGGGTTTCACTAATGCTCCCGGCCCCCGTCTCTTCTCCGCGCTGTCCCCAACTGTCACCCCCCTCCTGCGCTAGTCTCCGGTTGTCACAGATATCCCTGGGCTGGCACCGCCTGCTGGCAGCACGCCTCCCCTTTGGGTAGTGCCATTGGCTGAGACAGCTGTCTATTTTCCGGTTGCTAAAGTGAGAGAATGCGCCCATTGGCTGACGAGGCAAACTAAACGCAAATTTGGCCCGTCCCCACGCTGCCCCCCAGCTGTCATTCCTTCTGACCTTCTTGGGGGACCTGAAAATAACTCAGCTCTTCCTATTGATTGTGGATGCTGTCTGTCACCGCCCAAATAGACGTCATTGTTTGTCAATTTGACCTCCGCCTATTCCTTTTCATTGGCTTCCTTTTTTTTTTTTTGTTCCTATTAGGCAGGTCCGCCTCTTCTCGCACAGTACCCGCCTCCTTCGGCGGTCATTCACTCTTCCGCAATTTTTACTGGCCAGGAGGTTCAGCTTCCTAATTTCCTATTAGTTACTTTTTTCGTCCCACCTCCTTATGCCCGCTCATTGGTTTTATACGTTTCCTCCATTTCCTCTTCCCACCTCCAACCTCACCCACCCGTCCAACGATTGGCAGAAACCCAGTTCCCTCTCTCGCATTATTCGTCCAAGCCCTCTAACGAGGCGGGAGCAAAAAGAAGCGCGATGGGACCGCCGGCGCGCAGGCGTGAAACGCCGAAAAACGCTGGCCGCTTAGCCGGCACCCGGGCGTGTGCGCAGGCGCGAGGTCGGTAGCTCGCCCAAAGCGGGAGGGAGGGGGCGGCAGCCCGAGAGCGCCAGGGGTGAGAGGGCGCGAGCGAGACCTGGGCGCCTGGCGACCC